AAATAAAAATTAACTTTTAATTTATCAATTATTCAATTAAATTTACCTAACACTTAAATTAATATTAACTTTTACATTTTTTATGTATATTTATAATAAAAACATGCAATAAATGCACCATTATCCTAAAGATATACGATAGAAAACCTTATTTTTAATTTGAAATCAAAAAATAATAATTTTTTAATAAATATATTATACAATATATTAAATGAAAGGATATCTCAATCACTTTTCTTAATAAAGTACTAAAGCTTAATCAACAAAGAACACTGTTTTGCTAACAAAATTTGCTTAATTAGTGCAACGGAGTTTGGTCTTACGGAATTGATGAAAAATTCAACAAAGCCGTCTAACTATTCATCCGAAATTGATATCATAGACTGAGTGGATCTATTAATAAAACAAATGCCATTTTATAAAACTTGATTAGGGTTTAAAATGTCAAAATTGACATCTAAAAAAAAGTTAACTATTTTAAATGCATCATATTAATAGTGAAGAACACACTTTTAAAATCATTGCAAATAGAGATTAATCACGATATAAATAAATAAATAATTGATATTATGTCTCTGAAAGTGGGGAGTGGACTTTAAAACAGGAGATATCAGGATTCAGGACTTTCAACAGTTCACTGATATTATTACTCAAGTAATCATATTTGGAATATTGTTCACAAACATTATCACGCATAGAGAGGGGGTGGAATCCATGACATGGAAGAAATTAAACATCTAACTTTGATTAATTGGTCAAAAGCAACTTCTGGCATTTTTTTATATAAAAAATGTAAAATTTGCATTAAAAAAAAAACCCACGAAAATATAATTTTCTTATTTTAATTTTAGATTATTCTCTTTTCAACCCCTAATCTAGTGGCTTTCTTTGTTTCCTAATACTACTTGAATAAGATTTATTTTCTGTTGTACCAACTACTTATCAGATTGGAAAAAAAAAAAGTTTGATTTGAAGGCTTTGTCAATATTATAATTTAATAATAGTGAGGTTACATAACACAACATTTTACTGTGAAGGAAGTCAAAGATTTCTTTCATATAGTGGAATTTAAAGAACTAAGAATGAATATCTTTTGATTTGAATGGTAAGAAAAAAAAGAAAAAAACTAAAGAGATAATAATATGAGAGAAGGCAGTTTTTTTCAATCCCCTTCACCTGCGTTTACATGTACACACAAGGAGAGTGGAATGCCAATAGATTGAAACTTATAAACCGTATTAAAGAGTCATAAAAATGGCTGACCAAAAAAATAAAAAAATAAAAAAATAAATAAATAAATAAAAGGAAAAAAGAACGAGTCAGAAAATTTGGTAACGTCATTGATTGGGCAAAATTCTGCCTTTAGTCCCTCACCTTATCAAATTTAAAGGTTTTAATCCCTTACTTTATACTATGACATTTTTAACCCCTTATCTTATTAAATTTATAGATTTTAACTTTTTACCTTATATTGTGATACTTTTAACCCTTCATATATTAAAATTAAAGAAAATAGTCTTCGCTTATAACATTTTATTAGTTCTATTAACTAACTGTTAGTTTTATTAACTGACTGTTAGTTAACTATTAACTAACAAAAACCTTCTTTCAGCTAATAGAGTTAACAGAATTAATTTTATAATATTTCATTAATTCTATTAACTGACAATTAGTTAACTGTTAATTGACAAAAATCTACTTTCAGCTAATAAAATTAACCGTCAATATAAAATAAAGGCTATTTTTTTCGATTTCAATAGGTAAAGGGTTAAAACTTACAAATTTAGTGAGATGATGGGCTAAAAATGTTATAGTATAAGGTAATGAGTTAAAACCTTTAAATTTGATAAGGTGAGAGGCTCCACGTATGTTTTTGCCCATTTGATTGAGCCTGCAAAGTACTTTGAAGCCACGGTTTGTTGACAACAAGAACTTAAAGGAGTTAGTATTTATTAACAATAAATAATGAACCAGACTAAATGAGAGATTCAAAGAGTAAGGCCACAGGTGCAATAGAAAATACCGAGGTCTAATTATAACATTCAGATTATGAGATTGTCCCACGACAGTTTTTTTCTTGATTCTTTCTATTGTTTTGAACTTACACGTTAGTAACCTGTAATTAACATTCAATGTATTAAAATTAAAGATTTTTATAACTTATACTTTAAGGTACATATTAAAAATATAATTATTATATTTTTAATAATAATTAATATTAAAAAAAATTGACATTTATTTAAATAATTATTTAATTAAAATTATTTATGTGACACTAGGGATAAATTAATAACAAATTTTATATTTTTAATACTAATTAATGCTAAAAAAAAAGCATTATAATTGTACTCTTAAGCATATATTTAAAAAACCCTAAAATTAAAAAAAAAAAGGGGGCGATTTTTAACCTATATCTTTAGGATACAAGTTAAATATTATTAATTACAGTATTTAAAATTAATTTGATACAAATTTTTATTTCAAATTCAATTAAACTAAGGTATAAGATGTAAAATAAAAATATAATATAATATTTATATTTAAAATTTACACCAAAATATAAATATAATATACAAATTTATATAAATTAATTACAAATATCTTAATTAATGAAATGTAATATATATAAAGATATAGATCATAAAACCCAAAAAAAAAAAAAAACAAAAAAAAAAAAAAAAAGAAAAGAAAAGAGAGTAAAAAAAACCCCCAAAAAATAGAGAAGAGAGTAAAAAAAAAACCCCAAAAAAATAGAAAAGAGAGTAAAAAACCCCTTAAATCTGTACTTGACCTGTGTGGAAAAGATTGATGGGTTTTTTTTTATTTTTTGGACGGCGAAAAAGATTGATGGACTATGCAACATGATTAATAAAAATGTCGCCCAAAAGGGCGAAAAGTGCCGACGTATCCGATATTCCAAGGGGAAAAGTGAGTCTCTATTTATTTTGGTTTGGGACCATGGGGACGCTTGTATTGACTTTAATCAATCCATTTTTCCTTAAAGGCTACAGTTATTTTCTTACATGAAAGAGAAATAACTTGGTACTTCTGCTTTGTCTTGTCTTGATTTACTCTTTTTGGCTTGGTCCACTCATTGAAAAATGCACTGAGGTTTCGCACGATAGTAATTGCCCAGGATAATGTCTTTCTCTTCTCTTCAGTATCTTTTTTAAAGAAAAAAAGGGTTTAGTGAACTGCTATGATTATGGGTTGCCAAGGAAAATGTCTTTGAGTCTTTCTCTTCTCTTCAGTATTTTTTTAAAAGAAAAAATGGGTTTAGTGAATTGCTATAATTATGGGTTGAATTTGGGCACTGCTATCTTGGAGGAGGTTAGGTAAAACAGGGGAGATATTTTAAGTCTAAAGGACTTTCAATATAGGATGAGTCAGGCTTACAAAACCTTGACATAGTACGAAGGCTGAAATTTTATATAAGGTAATTTCGGAATGTATTGTCAATTAGTTAATGTCTCCTATCAATAAAAAGATAAAATAATTAATAAATATATAGTGGAAATGGACGTATAAATAAAAATAGTATTGATATCCAGGATTTTGCTTTGTTTTATTAGGGGTGGACAAAAATCAATTTCGGTTGAAACTAAAATCAATTTTAAAATAATTAAAAAAAATTTTCTTCAATTTTGAGAATTGAAATCAAATTGAAATTTTCATAAATCAATTTGTTTGATTATCAATAAAATCAGTTTAGTTTTAATTTTTACTAAATAAATATTAATTATTTTTTTAATAATAAATTATATTTTATTTCATATTTTATTATATTTATCTAAATTTTGATTTTTTGAAAACTCATTTTTAATTTTTGATTTGTAAAAAGTTCAATCAAAATTTATTCAGTTAATATCAAAATCAAAAAATACTAAAATTAAACCAAATTTATTTTTTTGTTCGATTTTCGAATAACCCATTGATTTTCCACCCGAATGCCCACCCTTATGTTTTATTATAAGATATTGTTTGTTTTGATTGATAGACCTCATGATTTTGTCCCAATAGGGTCCTCATAGGGACATGAGAGGTGCGACTGGTACAATGATAGACTGACGGGGGAATCCCTTCCCCCATGAGACCCCTTCAAGGACAAAATTATGAGATAAACAAGTTAAGGCAGACAATTTCTTCTCTTTTTTAAAGAATATAGGAAATTATGGAATGAAAGAATTTTTTTAGTTATTAATGGGAGTAGAACTTTTTATTAATAAAACTTAAGTATTTAGATTTGAGAATGAATTATTGAACTTGATGGATTAATTCTTAAAGCAAATAATTCTTAGCGATAAATTGTTAATAAATTAAAATAATTAATTTTAAAAATAATTTTTTTCAATCTTAATTGTTTGTGCTATGAAAATATTTAAGTATTTTTAATGAGAATCAGTGATAATGTTTGGACACTTTCTTAAGTTATACTTTTTTTATATTTTTTGAATTAAAAATCACTATTTTAAAATAATTTGATATTTACAACTCTTTTTCTTACCATACTATGTGCTATTTACTACTTAATTCTTTTATTTTATTATAATTTATAATATTATATATTTTAATACATTTGATAATAATAATAAAATATATAAAAAATATAATCCTCATTTTAAAAAAATTTTTTCTCATCCAAATCAAAATTTAAAATTAAAATTTTAAACATAAAATTCCGACATCTTAACCTCAATCACTTCCATTGAAAGGATAATATATATAGATATATATATAATTATAATATATTGTACTCATATCATTCATTAAAAACGGAGGAGACAACAAAGTTAGGCCAAGCCGTCTCGTTTGGGCAAAAAAAGTCATGCATAGTAATGAGGGCGACATTTTGACTAAGTATCATTTTTTTTTTTTCTTTTAACTCCTAATGCACGGAAGTTATATTAGATTTTAATTAATTTAAAATTAAATTAAATTAAATTTTATAGTGAAAAAAGTTTTTTAAAATTTATTTTTTTATTCACAATACTCAAATTTAAATTTTTATTTAAAAAATCAAATTTATTTCACTCAAATTAACAAATTATTAATTTTTTATTAAATATCATAAATATCTGTTTTGCAAGTTAAAGAATCTTTCCCAGATTCTGATTTCATTGGAAATTTGAAGGAATAGTGGAAGATTAATACATTCACATTACATTGACCCCATGACAATAATCATGATGCTTGAAACTTCCTCTTGTTTAATACTACTAAATGATTTAAATTTTTTCGGTAAACAATATTTATTAATTTTATGAAGTACTAGCAACATTTTTTTTATTGATAATCTCAAATCTTCTCATCTATATATTCTATTATTGAATCACATAACAAAGGATACATGACTTTTGTGTGATTAGTGATAAGCGATCAGAGTAGCCGAATAATACAAGACTTATCATGCCAAAATTTTTTTTTTAATTTTTATTTATTAAATTAAGTAAAATTATTATCGATTAATTCAAAACTACCATAATGAACACCTTTTAAAATAACAGCCACAAAAAGTTTGGAACATCAATTTTGAACAAGAAAGTAAGAAGAAGAAACGTCACGTTTATTGCAACAAGTGGCATCTCTTTGAATGGGGGCTAAGGACAGTTTGAAACTTCCCAGTTCCAATGTTCGTGGTCCAAAAAACCGGGCCCCTCCACTTCCTCGTGACATAATGGAAAGCAGGGAACCAAAATCACGACACGTGACGCTAATTAAACCGCACCTGACGCTTCCCCTTTATTGGAACGTAAAATCTCTACGCTCCTGCTTACATTACCAATCGTAGGCACGCTACCGTGGACTGACACCTGGCCCCTTCTAAATG